CTGAGAATAGGAGCTACATCAGATGTGTTCCTGTGGGCATGGCAAATACACTGGGAGCTGCATTGTGTCTCTGACAGCAGCATTTTGAGTCTTAGATCCTAAGCCTTGTTCTCCTGTACCAGAGCAAGCTTTGCCTTAGATTTAATATCAACTGGATAAACAAGTTACATGAGGACTTTACAAACCTGCAGATGCAACATCTCTCTATGAAAGCGAGCCTGAGACTTGCAAATACGCAAGCTTTCTGTTGTCAAATGCTTAATGCTTATATTATAAAAGATTGGAGTTACGTATAATGAATTGATATTGATTTCCATCTACAAAGAAGCAAAACCCATGGAAGCTGACAGAAGCATATTAAATCCAGAAGGATTCTGCAGGCTGCGAGAGTAAAATCCACTCAGGCAAGCAGTAGTGTTTTCAATGAAGTATCTAGAAAAAAATAAGTGATGTTGTGGAGAGAAGGTATTGGAATTGCAGGGAATTGCACACAAAACTGTCTATGCTGCAAGAAAATGTTAGCCAAGGTTTTTGTGTTCTTGTAGGGTTTTTTTTAAATGTAGTTCCTCCTAAAGATTCAACAACATAGTTTCAACAATGTGTTCCTGAGTAGTTTAAACCAAGCTTATCTGAGCAATATTATATCCTAAAGAATTTCTTTTGGGCTACAGCTCATATATTGGTTAAAACAGAAAAAGTGGATTAAAACAGGTTAGAAACCAAAGGAAAGCATTTGAGAGTTCATTGAAGTGGACAAAGTTGGAGCAAGGCAGCAATCCTAGTGCACTTTCCAAAACTGGACCATCGGTCTTCAGTATTTGTGTTTCAATCCTTTGCCAGATATCTCAAAACAAAAGAAACGAGGATCAAGGAAACAATACTGAAGTTTTCCCTTTCGGTTGGTGACCCTACAGACTGCAGTCACTGCTCATCGTCTCGGTGGCACGAAGCCAGTTGGGCCATCAGCAGATCCAACTTCAGTGGGGTTTTCATTTGCGTAGTTTTATCTCCTCTGTTTCATCCTGACTTTTATGTTTTAGAACAAGTCACTCGATCTTTAGCTTCTCAAGCGTTCTTCTGGATCAAAGGATAAATTTTATGCATTGTAGGTTCTGAGCTGGAGGTAGATGTGAGAGAAGTTGGAATAGACATGAGTTTCTAGAGTTAATCATATAACTTGAATGACTACTTTAAAGAGTGCTTGACTGAATTCTGTAACTTCTGACTGAGACTTGAGACGTGTTTAGTTTCAGACCCCTGATGCGTACACAGTTCTGGTTGCCTTTTCACAGACCAGATGGACTACCTGGCTCAGTGTCCTGCTCAGGCAGTAGCCCATGGAAGATTCTGGGGGAAGAGCATTAGGTGATGTTATGGCATGGTGATACTTCCCTAATATTCTCTGGGCCTCCGTAATCAGTGATTACCTGGCCAAAAGATGGTATCTTTATATATGTGTGTGTGTGTGTGTGTGTGTGTATTTATATTTATATAGTGTGTTAATGGCTCTTGCTTCTGTGAGTTTGTCTGATCATTTTTGAACCCCTGTAACTTTTTGGCATGCTTAGCTTCCTGTAGTAAGAAGGCATCCACAGTTTAATTATGTGTTACAGGAAAAACGACCTCCTTTTGTTTGTTTTAACCTGCCCACCTCACGTCTTCATTTGTGTTTTTCCTATGTCTTGAATCATGAGAGGTGAGTAATTCTTTCCTATTCTCCTCACTGAAGCTCATGATTTTATAGATATTTTTCATCTTTCCTTTCAGTTGTCCTTTTTCCAAGCTGAAGTATCCTTATTTATTTAATTGTTCCTCAATATATAAGCTGTTCTATACCTTTGATCAACTCTGCAGCATTTCTTGGTACTTCTTCCAGTTCCACTGTATGTTTTTGAGAAGAGAGGAGGGACAGGGGTTAGAACTATCCTCAGTATTCAAGAGATGGATGCAGTTTTGATTTATGTGGTAGCATAGCAGTGCTCTTGGTTTTGTTCTCTATGCTTTTCCTAATAATTCTTAGTACTGAGTTTGTTTTTGAGTATTTTAGTGAAGTCGTCATAGAAAAATCTATTATAGCTATAGTCACAAGGTCTCCTTCCTAAATAGAAATAGCTGGTTCTCGGTCTATCACTGCATAACAGTACGATTGTGTTTCCCTGGGTAGATGATTTTGTAGTTATTAAATTAAATGTCATCTCCCAATTTAATGTCTGATCATTCAGTAATGTGATTTTTTTTCTGTATTTCTCAGTGACTTTCAGTTTTTCAGCAGCAGACTTTTTCTTATTTCACTCTCCCTCTCCCTCCCTGGATCACTTATAAATGTTTTGAACAGCAGAGACAGTAGCACAGATTCTTGTGGGACCCCAGTGGTAATCTCCTTCTACTGTGGAACCTGTCCATTTATTCTAGCTCTGATTTAACTCCATGACAAGTAACACTTTTATCCTATATTGGCTTACTTTATTTAGGAGCATTTCAAGTGAACTTAGCAGATTTTCTCAACTGAGAAACTGCTGGTGTGAAAACGTTTCTCTAGACAAATGGACAGATCCAGTTGTTGTCTAGTTCAAAACAGAGGTATTGAAGATCTTTCAGTAATGCTGATGAAGAATTAATTAGGCTGTTTCCTGACCACCAGCATGACTTTGATGGAGCTCCTGAATGCTCTTCAGCTTTGGATCTGGTGCAGCTGATGTTTGTTTCAAGGGCTGCTCTGCAGTAACCCCCAGCTGTCTCCCAAAGGGTGCATCCCAGTCCCAGCACAGCCCTTCGTGCTTTTTAGCTGTCAGCGTGATCTGACTTTACTGGGAGGGTAACAGAGACTCCAGCTGTTTCACACAAGGGAAAAGCCCAATGAGCTTTAATAACAGAATGGATGGTGGAGTCTGTATCCGTGCAGTGGAAGGAGCAGCTACTACCCTTGGGATGGGAGTTGAGTCCAGCTGACAGCAACCTGCTGATAACCCATGTGGTGAACTGGTGGGATAGGAGATGAGACAGCTGGGGATCATGTCAGATTCCTTGTGTCTTGTTGTGTCCTCCTTTTAAGTTATGCTCTTTGTGGCATCCTGTGCCCAGTTGGAGAGAGTGGTGGGAGGCCAGCAGCATACAGGTGTCCATAGGTCCAGAGCTGCACAACTGCAGTTAAAACAACAGTAGTAGAGGATCATTACCGCATCACTGGGGCAGAAGGGGGAAGCAGCTCTCCCAGAGTTAACCAGAAAGCCAGATTTGGACCTATACAACTTGGGTTTCAAGGCCTGTCAGCAGCATTACAGTTGTCACTTTTCCAAGCACCAGTGAAAGAAAAAGGACTAAAAGACTGTGAATCTTGTAGCAAAAGGGAGCAGGAAGTGAGAGTTTATTCAGTGTTTCATTTATCCAGTGTTCCACTGGGGTACAGTGGAAGCAAGTGACTGATGAAGCATGTATGGGATCCCTTGAACAGAGACATCTAGAGAAGGCTGTCTACAGCCAATAGCGCATAGCAGCAAAAGTGGTAGTGGTGCTCCAAGCAGGAGGCCAGAGGATGCTGGGGGGAGATGCTGACAGCTGAACTTTTCCACTGGGTTGTCTTACTCCTCTGTTGCTGAGGAGCTGAGTATAGAGAGTGACCCTTTAGAGTTTAGAGTCTTTGTCCTCAGTTTGCTTTGAAAGGGGTGCATTGGGTTGGTTTTGAGGGAGAGTACATAGGGCTGGTAGTTACTTCTGGTCTTGTTTGAAACATCCTTTTGAATATTTTAAGGTTTTGCTGTAATGTTGAAGCCTGCGGAGGAAGGTGCAACACATTCAGGGGAAGCTGTGACATGTTCAGTGAATCTAGCTTGTGAGTTTTGGTAAGATCCTAAAGCAAAGAGATTGCAGTTAACTCCCTGGCCAGAACCATGAACTGGACTCCAAACTGTGGCATGAAATGTAAAAGACACCAAGTATCTCTTACATTCCAGTTACTTATGACATGCATGGGAAACACAAGGGAAGCCTGTCCTGGGAATTCAAAGGAAGTATTGGGAAATAGTGGCTGAAAGAACGTGACAGAGATGAGAAGAAACTTAGGAAGCTCAGGCACTGAGGCTTGAAGGTTTTATTAGCCAGAGTGTCAGGATTCAGGGGGTCATATGGCATCCTGTCTTGTGAGCGCAGGGTGTGTGGGTTGCTGGGCCATTGCAGCCTCTTAGGACACCTTGTGGTCCTGTCAGTCTGCCACCTGCTCTCCGCAAAGCCCCTCAGCCTTGTGGGCAAGTGTGGTGGTGCTGCCTTCTTACTGAGGCTTACAAACTTCAAAGCAAGCCAGTGAGCTCCTCTTGGTGCTTATCATGTTGCAGGCCACAGCTGAACTCCCACCATGTAAGGCTGGGTTGTAAGAGCTCCTGCTTCTTTGCAGGAGGCCTTTTCTCCTCTGGGAAAGGCTTGCATTGCTCTAATGATGAAAGAAATGAGCCCATCTTCAGTCTGCTCCGGTCTTCTGGATTGGATCTGTTTGGAATCAATATGTGCCCTAGTTGCAAGCTCACCCTATCATTCTTTTATCCTCTCTGTGGATAGTGCATGTCTGTCTTTGTTCCACTCTCACTGCTGTACACGTGTGCTTGGTGTAAGCTTTGCGTTAGTGTATTAACAAAATCTCTACAAATACAAATAAATAATTACCTCATTAGTGGCAGGAATCCTTAGCTCTTTTCCTGCTGCAGCTCTGCCTCTCTTCAATGCTAATCAGCCACAGGCATGCTCCAGTTTTGAGTTTTTCTTCCTTTCCTTTGTTCCCCTCAAGCGTGGTGTTATGGCCAGTAACACAGTCCCAACCTGGAATTCAAGAAACTCCTTAGCAAGACGCAGTTGGCACGTGGCACCTCTAACAGGTGGTGTGCTTGCTGAAGCCACTTAATACAAATCCATAGCTGGCTAAGTATTAAGGATTTTTAGGAAGCAGCAGTGCCTTGTAAGCAGGAGTCAGTCCTTATGTGCACGTGAAAGCATGATGGCTCTTCTTTTCTCAGGGCTCCAGAGAGTCACCGTTTTGCCTGGGAGGAAAAGACAGAGAACAGTGTCTACAACAAGGCGACACGGAGTCCGCTGGCACATCCTGACCATCAGCTCCGTTTTGCTGTGCAGCAACTTCAGGAGCATAAACTTCAGTCACAACAGCTGTTGGAGCAAAGCCAAGCCCAGCACCAGGTAACTAAGAAAAAGTCCTACCTGGGATGTAGCAGTGCTGACTGAGCCTTAGATGTGCAGGGCCAACCCAGAGCCAATACATACGGCACAGCTTCTGTGAAGAAAGTAGCTCTTCAAGTGGGTTGTAACAAAACTAATATTACCTGCAGTGATTTTGGTAGCATTTGGGTGCTGTAGTTCCCAATGGCTTCTTCCATTGCATTGGCATCCTCCTCTGTTTGGTTACTGGCATGCTGCTGCTTGCTTTTCTGCACCAGTTCAGGGCATCCCCTTACAGTGCCTCAGACAGCCTTACAACTGTCTACAGTCTCCCCAGTTCTTTCTCATTTAATCTTGTCATAGATGATATGTTCCTGCTTTGACCTGAGGTCTTCTTGGGTAGTGCTTCGAGTTGGGTCACTGTTGTATTTCAGTGTTTCTAAATACATGGTCTTGAAATTGTGCTGGCCACCATGTCCTCTGTGGCCAAGAGACCCCATCAAGGCTTCACCTTGACTAAATTCTCCTTTTGGATGTCTTCTCATACAATGCGGTTATCAAAAGTGCAGTATGCTATGGGGATTCAAAAATTATTTAGGAGAATCTTTGGTTTTTTTGAAGAAATGTTTTAATTTCTTTAAAGAGTCTTCAGTGTGCAGGAAGCATGGCCACTGCCAGATGTAAGTTTTCTCTGCAACCCTGAAAGTCTTCTCCAGATCTCCTACACTTTTTGTTATTACTACATTTAAGATCTTCCTTCACTGCTTTGCATGGAATTGCCTGATGGATTCATGACTTCTCTGTTACAATTACAAGGACAAAAGATGGGCTAAGTGTCCAGGAGCTAGAAGAAGTATGACAATGGGTTTGTATTATTGACGTTCTGGATGACACCTAGATGCCAAGGGTGGACCACTGTGTCTGGAACGGCATTTCCATCCTGCCTGGGAAATCTTCCAAAGTTACAATGAGTTCATTGAGGCACTCATTACCTTTCTTTGTTATTATGGAAAGAGAGGGGTGTTTTTTCTTCCGAGTGATGTCTAAGAGGCTTCCCTGCTAATGAGAAGGAAGTCTTTGGGTGAACAAACCTTCACTCAAAGGATTGGTCTCCATTAGGAAGGAGGGAGTTGCTGGGCAGTCTGGCAGGATTGGACTCCAACAAAACAATGACCAGAGCTAACATGTGGAGGTCTGAACACCCACTCTCCCTCCTGTGAAGCAGATGAGTCACTAGTCAGGGTCCTTGAAAATAGGTCATAGGCACATTGCCCTTGTCCTTTTCTGGGAGCATCTTGAAGGAAAGGCCTTTCTGTCTTTGCTCCTTGCATTCTTTCTTTCAATGCCCTCACTTAGCCATGCAGTTTTCGTCCTCAGATTCCCTCACCTACAGTCTTCTTGCTCCCTCTCTCCGCAGGAGGTCTTCCTTTCATCTCCATCCAAGGGGCTCTGGGTGGGCAGCTGTGGCTGCTCATGAGCTCAGGAAAGGGCTGTAAGCTGGCTTGTGCCTGTGAGGAGGCTGGAGCTGGCCATGGGGCCTGGCTGAGCCCTCTTCTAATTGCTGACATTGAGCTGATGTTATTCTTGGCCTGGGGCAGAGCCATTACTCAGGAGTTTCTGTTAAAGTGATTCTTTGTTAAACCTCCTCTCACCCCCACAGCGTCCCCCTCCTTTCTCTCCCTCCCTTCTCCTTCTGAGCCAAGCAGTTTGGAGTTGCAGTATTGAGGCCATTGCCATGCCGCAGGGCTCAGGCTGCACTGAAGTTGCCATTAATGAAGAAAAGTATTTGCTGAACGTGGGGGCTTTCAAGCTTTCTGTAGTGAAAACCACATCTTAATAAAAGGATTGTCTCTTGGACACTTCCTCTCCCACTAGACATTGTATGGAGCCAGCCAGACCTCCCCTTTCAGTCACAGTTGCACTGATCGATGCCCCTCCCAGTCACTGCAGTACCCTCATCTTCATCTGTCTGTACCTTCTAGTTCCTGTCACTGTTCCCTGTCTAGTTTCCTGTCACTGACCTCTTTTTTCGGCTAGTTAGCACCTTTGACTTGGCCTTTCTAAGAACTGCCTTCTCTTTGCTGCTGCTTAAACACTCCCTGCCCCACATGTCCTTCCCACACACTGCTTTGACTTCCATCCCACCTTTTCCTGCTGGCCATCATTTATCCTTTCTTTTTACCCACAGTTGATGTATCTTACCCTAGCCTGCATGGCTGTATGACATTTCCTAGGCAGTGTCACCTAACCCACCTATTTCCAATTGTCTGCTCTTTCCCTTCTGTTCCTTCCCATGTCTTGAGATCTACTCCATCCTTTGTTGTCTTGTCTGCTACATTCAAGTTTCTCAGCCTCCTCTCAGAAGCAGAACTATATCCCCCAAAACAAAAGGCCTGTCACTTGAAAGTGTGTCATGATCTCTCTACTTTGGGGAATGCACGCAGGATATCTCCAAGCCGGTTTCATCTGATGGTTCAAGTCCTTGTCACCATAGGAAGGCAGGCTAGACATTTGTCAGTAGCTGAAGTGCTTTTATTAGTAGATCTCAAGGCACACTCTGAGTATGGCATGACCGTACAACATGACTAGATGCCAGTCTTTCCTTCTCTCTGTGACAAATGGAGTAGTCATACGTATGTGGATAGCACATGAACAAGTAACAGCAGCACCGTGATTCATAACACAGGCAAATGTTTCTGCCTGTGTGTTAACTAGTTCGATAAGGTGGAGGTCAGATAGGTGCGTTGGAAAGCATGGAATTTCCTAGTCAAGTGTTTGTGCAATAAAAATACCCCCATCTGCTATTCAGTGGATGTATCTTATCACGAAGGCTTATTGCATACTTCTTTGTGGCAGCACCCACTCTTGGTTGAGTGCTTTCCAGACACTTAAGAATGATGATTTCTCCTTCAGGCATTTAATAATTGGCAGAGTAGCAAATACTGTGTAGGTGGAGGAATAATAACCATCAGTTTTCACTCATTGTATGTGAAGTTAGTTCACGTAGTGTGGTATGGTGGAAATAGATCTTTGATGCCAGAATAGGTACTTCATTCCCTGGACAAAAAGGAAAAACACCGAACTGACTGGATGAGAATTTAATAAACAAATGGATGCAGTGCTAGGGCCCAGGAACAGAGACAATACAGAGCCTGAGAAAAGAGAAAAATAATAGAAAGGGGCAGAGTTTGAAAGAGGAGACAAGAAGCTTAAATCTGATACCGACAAAATCAAAGAATGAGAATTACAAAATCAAACCAAGAGACAAGAAAAACAGGCTTATTTTTAATGTTTAAAGGAGACTTCATGTGACACGTTATGACCTAGATGTTAGTATCACTGCTGCAGTTGGCAAGGCAGTTAATATACCATCACTGTTTATTCTCTAATTGTTTCCTGTACTGGAAAGATGCCATTAGCTGTTAGGGAGGTTCCTCCTCCTCTGTGTGGCTATGTTCTGTCTGCTTAGCCTAGCATCTACTGGGCTTGTAACTTTATGCCAAACATTTCACAAGGGAAAAAAGCTAAATTAAACCAAGAAAAGTACAGTCATATAGCGGAATGATCCCCATCAGTCTTGCTTATATCAAAAAAAGCTCGTGTTAAACAAAACATAAATCATGTTAATGAGTTGCGTGGTCAGTTGTGATCACATTTGCAATCAGAAGTTTAAGTAGATTTTATGCTATAAAACATTGAGCTAAGTTAATTTTCAATAATTCTCCTCTCAAGCGTTTAAGAACGGTATGTTCTCTGAAATATTCCTCATTTTATGAAGTTCAGCAAATTCTTTTTTCCTTTAATGTATGTGACTCTTTTCTGAATTCCCTACGGTTTATTTAGATCTGAGTGGGATTGTTGAGTATTCAGAATATATTCCTAGTATTCCTAGAACTACATTATTCCTGCCTGAGGACACGGGGCCTCTTTGAATGCAGCCTTAAACATCATTAAACTGTTTTCTAAACTATTATATATTGGACTGCTGTCAGATTTGCAGTCTCTCGTCCATTCTTGTTTTGGAGCTTTCTCCCTCCGATTGTTTTCCCACTACATGTGCTAACTGCCATTTTTCCTGTTTGGGTCTTGTGATAGTGATGAGTCAAAGTCCCAATCTAAGTAAAGCAGAGCAACTGTTCTGAACGCAGTAGACTGTGCTGATTTATACCAGCTGAAATGTTGTCCCCACGTTTCTGATCCTGTCACTATTATTAGAATTACAGTAACACCCAGATGTATTAAGTATCTTTCCAGTACAATGATATGGCCCAATCCTTGCCCCACAGAGCTCCCAGTACCAAAAGAGAGACAAAGGAGCAGGCACCAAGTCTACTTATTTTAGTGTATTTTAGTCTGTTCTGAAGAATTTAACAAGGAAGAAATGCTTCAGGACAGTCTGTGCATACTATGAATTTGCTCTTCTTTAAATTTTTTGATGACCCCAAGATGCTTCTCTTACTGCAGTTTAACACTCTGGCAGTTAATAGCACACGTTGAGCTTGCTCTTCATTGTCACTTTGTGAATTTTCAACTCAACTGATTGTTGCATCCAAAGTGATTTAACTGAATGCATTAATACGTGTTCAAAACAATCTTCACTAAACAATTTATATGACTCCAAAGATCTTCCAAGCCTTTTAATTCTCTGTGTTTTTGCAGTGTCATCTGCAGTGCAGTTGCTCTTCTAAAAGCGATGGGTCTTATTTTGTTGAGTTTGCTTTTTATTTTCCAGTTTTTAACTTAAATCCTCATCGTTGTTTATTGCTTATAAACATCTCAGTTTCCAGCACTAGTGACTCGGAACTGGCTCCACAGATCTTTATGGACTATGTGTGTGCATCTGACAGTCAGTTCTCATACGCTGCTGAGTCTTTCATCATTCTCAGACTTGCTGATCCAATTTGAACTGAATGGCTGTGGGACAGAAATCTCAAAGCTATGTTTCATGTAAACTTCATGAAAATAAAGCGCTATATATCCAGAAAGGGGATTCAACTATTGTTTCCAGTAAGGCAAAGGCTGCAGTGTGAGGCCACTCCTAATTAGACTGCAGAAAATCAGCATGCCCCAGACCCATGAAGGGAGGCATAATTTGGGGCATGCTTTATATTAGATACTGTAAGAGTCAGCTCCAAGACAGATTGACAGGAAATTAGCTTCATTACCTCCTTTGGTCGCAGAATGAACATGTTTTTGCTTGCAGCATTTGTTCCATCTCTGAGCTAGGGATGGGTGTTAGATACAGGGATTGTAAGTGCCAGGAACATTCTTTCTGTTTTTGAAGATCATGAATATATCTGCTTTTCTTCAAAGCACTACAGTACCTCCCTGCTTTTAATCATGAGCAGCCCGAGCTCAGCTGCTTACTGGCCAATACTCTTAAATGCGCATTGTCCTTACTGACAAGCTGTACATGTTGAGGTATTCTAATTAAAAACTACTGGTTTTGTACAGATAACACTTCGTGTGTGGTGTTCATGTGTAGATGTGGAAGGAAGGAGAGTTGTGGTCTGATTGGGAGTCAAGATCTCTGAGCTCTCAACCTAGCTTTTCACTTTCTGTCAGTGCGAACATTCTTCCTCTGCAAGACAGGGTTAATGCTGTCCTACCTCCCTGGAGAATTGTGCAAGAGAATTAACTCACTAATGCTTCACATGATTTTTAGCTAAAAAGTCCCATAGTGTTCTAAGTGTTTTCGTAGCCCAAAGAACTTGTCAGGGAAGCAAATGTCCCCTCAACATCAAGTTAAATCTGCCAGCCTGGGAAGCGTTCAAAGTTTTTTACTTGCAGCAGCAATGGTTGCAGGGTGCTACCTGCTTCAGGACTGCCTCAGGCAGGGTTTGTCTGCGCATCTGCTCTCCCTGGGCCCTGAGTCTCAGAATCCTGAGTGATGAGGTCTGTCTTCTACTTTTTGCATGTGCTAAAATCTCTTCCCAACCCCTCTTTTGTGTGGTCAGGCTCTGCTCTCCCCAGCTGCCCTCTTTATTTGCACAGTAGCTTCTCCTGGTTTCCTGTCCTGTCCCCGTGGAGTTCACAGCGGGACAGTACGCTTTGTAGCTGGATCCAGAAGTCATGGTCCATGTCAGCTTCCAGTCTCCCCATCCTTGCCTGGAAGGCAGCCAGAAACTCAGCACAGCGTGGAGACAAAGGCCTTTTTGGAAGTCCGTTACCCCCAAGAAAAACATCCATGACCTTTATTTAGGCAGGTCTCAGCCCAGCTTTTGCTGATCAGACTTTGTTAGAGCATCCATGCTTGCTGTTTCTTCAGAGTCATGGACCTCCTTGCCAAGGCACGTTCACACAGAGAAGGGGTTAAGCCTGTGTGCTTTGTGGACTCCAGGATCTTAGTGATTTTAATAGCAAGAAAAAGAACTTACAGGAAATATGCATAACATCAAACAGAGCACAATGAAATGTCACTCCTGAATAAGAAGGTGCAGGAGGAGACTCTAAGATGCAAGTACTAAACCAAGTTCCATTTTAGTTTGTTTTGCTGGGGGGAGGTGGGGCGTGACTGCTATTTTCCAGGCTTCTGCACTTGTACCAGCTACTTACTCAAAATCTGAAAGCTGCCATCAAGGAAAAGCTTCAGGGAAGGGAGAAGTTAAGAAGGACTGGGAGCTCAAGGGCATCTTGTCAGTAAGCTCTTGTTAGGAAAGAGGCCTGTTTTGGCTCCTGCACTTCCTTTTCTCCCTAGAGCTCTGCCTGTCAGAAACGCCTTCCCACACACCACTGCCCTGCCATTTGCCAGAGAATTGCGGGGGAGAGGGGCTTTTCCTGTCTGTGCTGAGACTCAGCCAGCCCTCAGACTGTGGTTTTCTCTGGAGCCCACTCGCTGTGGCTTTGTGTGTTTTTCACCAGATGAGAGACTGAGGACAAACGCAGTGAAGGGCGCTGCTCCCAGGGTCACGCTGAGGTGACTGGCGAGTGCTCAGCCCTTCCCCTCATCTCCTATCTCTGACCTCTAGCTGCCAAACTACACGGTCACGGTATTGCCTCTGCCCTGGGAATCTGACTGACTTCGAGGAAAGACAAGGCAGAACTCGCAGCAGGTTTCTCCTTTCTGAAGAGTTGAGCAGTTTGCAGAGCTCCCGTAGGGAACCATTCCCCAATCCCTGCTTTGCCAGTCCACTGCTCGCTTCCCCAGCGTCTCATAATTTGCAGGTTCTTTTGTTCCCTGTGATAAATCCCCAACATACTTACTCTCCCACCTGCTATAGGAATAGAAATATTTTCTAGTCCCTGGTATTACTAGGGATTTCCTTTTTGTCAGCTGCTGACCTCAAGTCCCTTTTTCAGAGAAGGTGCCCGTGATCCTTTCTGTTATTCCGAGCACACACAGGGTTAGACTGAAGAACTGGAATTGTAACATCATCCCCATAACCTTTTTCTTTCCTAGAACAATGTCTCAATCCCATCTCCTATACAAAGATAATTTAGCAAAATAAATGTAGAAAGTCAGTCAGAGCAACAAACGCTTTACTTCTTTGTGGATGGGCCACTGCAAGATTACATTGAAGATAAGGCCTCTTTTTTTCAATCCAGCATAGTGACATTCTGTGGCAGTAATGAGCTTGTCTGCCTTCCTAGAAGCTAGTCCCAGCTTTCAAGCATATAAAATTCAGCTCTAAAAACTACTTCACTGACCTGACCACTTAACTCTTCTTTTTTATGTGTGGGACTCTCCGTGGCGCCTTGGAGTTGCCTTCGCCAGGCAGATATTATTCCTTACAAAAATGTCACCCACCTCCATCCACTCTCTCAACAATATTCAGAGAGGTAATCACTAATTACTATGGTATTTTTGTTTTCTTTTTTTCTTTTACCAGGCTCTCTTAGCCAACTACTCAGAACCCAGCACGAGCCATATATCTATGCCAGCTGGCTCTGATGCCCACAAGACATCAAGTGCCACTTCTAGTATCCAGAAGGCAGCCAGTTTGCACAAAGTGATGCCATCCCAGAGTGCACCTTCTCTGCTGGTTCCCAAGCCTCCAGCAAACCACAGACAGGCAGCGGTCAGAAAGACTGCAGCCCAGAGGATTTCCAAGTAAGTTTTATCTCTTCCTATCCACAACACTTGGCACTAGTTCCCCTGAGAAGGAATATTGGAGAAAAATCTGTCTACATGCTGCTGCCACAGACCTTTTTGGCTGTGCTGTCCAAGACAAATCTCAGAGTAACCTGAATTGTGTGCACTGAAATAGGTGTGCACTATGTTGCAGTTTCATGTTTCACAATGGTAAGGGAGGTAAGAATGCAACATCATACACAAACATAAGGACATAGGAACTGCCAGATTGAATCAGAGAAGTATCTGAATCAGGGTGGGATTCTGTTACCTAAATACAGCTTGCTAGTGACATTTTAGATGTCCAGGGCTATTCCACCTGACCTCCAGCTGCTGCTCCAGAGGAGCACAAGGCTTCTGTAGATCTTGTGTTGTATCTGGCAGTCCCATGCAGATATAACTTGAGAGTATCAAGAATGGTACCAGACATCTGTGTTCAGGCACTTGAGTCACTCCCTCCACGTTTAATATTTGATGGGAGCTAGAATCTGGTGGGTCAGAAGAGGCTGCAAAAAACCCACAAAAACCCAATTTCCTTAACAGGCTAATTTGTGCTTAAGCCAGGTTTCCCCATAAATTTAACACACAATTATCGTCTTATGCCTTCAAGCACAAGTGTTTATTTCATTTAAAGTGTTTATATTGTGTCTAAGGTAATGAGAGTTTTCAGCATTGTCTGTAGAAATCCTTATAACTTTTACTAAGCTTTAGTTAGGCAATGCTTGCCATTCTAAGGTAGATGGATTTGGCTTTCTCTAAAAACAAACAAAAAAATCACCATGAAAGGTTGCTTACTGATTGTGAGTTTCCTTCCTTTTCATTTCTTAGCATGTCTTCTCTTTCTGCATTATGAGAGAATGGGAGCGAGACTTCTGGGTTTTCTCCTTATCCTTTACTTTTCTTGGTAGCTTCCTCAGCTCTCCGTGTTAAATCTCCTCTTAAATGACAGAACTGCTTTAGACTAAATCTTTCAAGTTTTTCCTCATATATCCTCAGACTTGTTTCATCCCTGAGCACTGAAGAGCAAAAATTGCATTCATAACTTCCTTTCTTACACTGACTCTATAGCCAGAAGAGTTGTAAAGCTTTCAGAGCAGGTTCCTCTGAGGTTTCCTGATTCTGTGTTTCTTTCCTGTTTAAAGAGAGAATTTTTAGTAAAAAACTACCGATGAAAGACACCTTATGAAGGTGTGAGGGCACTCTCAGTGTGTGTGTATCAAATCTGGAACTGCAAGGCGTATTTAAGGAGCTTGGACAGAACTGCTCTGGGGAAGCTTGTGTATTTCCTGCCTGTAGTCTTGCTATCTTAAGAGATAGCACACAGAATTAATACCCCAAAAGTATTTAAAAAGAAAACAAGATGTTGGTAGGCTTTGTCAACTCAGCACACACAGATGTGAGCATCAGGTCTGGCAGGTATGTGCTCGTGGGTTTGCTGTCTGATTTCTTTTGTGCTGGGTAGCTCATGTTAGTACAGGTGATGGGCTGTGTCAGTGGGTTTCTCTGCCGGGCAGCAAGGATGTGTATTTGAAGATGCCGGTGTGCTGTGCTCACTTCTTGGCAAAGGAAATGTTTATCCTTGTGAGATGGAATTGCAGCTCCTTGGACAGACTTTACTTTGCTGCATTTTTGTGGTTTCTGCTCTGTGACAGGCAGGAGTGTGGGAAAACCGGAAAAAGTTCAGCACCAAAAATGCACAGAAGGGGGAAAAAAAGCAAAAGATTCCTTCAGAATTTCAGAAAACGAATCCAAGTATTGAAGGCTGCAAGGAGCCACTCCGGAAATACTTTCCAAGTTGTCTTTCAGTCTCCAGCACAAGACTCCAAATCCATTCTTGCCATTCATGGGATCTTGCAGTAACATTTTTTCACTTACATGGAAAACAGCAGTGCCCAACTATATTTCCAGCATACTGAGAGCTGATCACTTAAAAACTGCTACATCTCAGTCCCATTTAATCCATTCATTGCTGTCAGGAAAAGACCAGAGATGCATCCACAGAGAAGAGTGAATGGTGAGAAGCCTCTGTGTCAAAGGAGTATAGATTAGAGAAGAAAAGGATGTCTTGTCCAGCCTGTTACAGTCCCTGGTTATTCTCTACCAAGTCTTCTTGGACACCATGTGTGGTCTGCTTTCAAAAAGCTCCAGTGGCAGAAACCCCACCATGTGCTATAGAAGACTGCTTAAGAATCTAGACAACCTTATCATCAGAAAGTTTCTCCTGATGTGCAATCTAAATTTTTCCTTTGTTTCATCCTGTTGTACCTTGTTCCTCTTTCCTGAACCACCCTAAACACTTTCCCTTGCAAATAATTTCCATCTTTTGAATATCTTTCTACTTAGAGTTTCCTAATGTTGCTTAGACTTGTTGAGGCTTTGGTAACCTCAGATAGTAGTTCTACCTGCCAAGCCCTTAATTGTCTTGAATTTACTGTATTTACTTCAGTTTGTCTGAGTGCTTGCATTGTGGCACCCAGAATTGTACTTTTCCAGTGTGGGACTACCATATCCTTTGGTTATGACAGGGCAAATATCCTTCTCCATAACATCTAGTCTAATTTTGGCTTTTTGGCTGCTTCATTTCTCTGTCAGGTCATTTTTGATTTGCTGCCCACTCTCACCCCCTAATACTTGTTGGCTGCTTTCCTGACCTCTTTCCTCAAAGAAGATCTCAGTGCTATATATTATTTCCACAAGACTCACTGAAACTAATCTCGTTCTGTTGTTAAAGCTCTCGTTTCTCTCTCTTTTTTTCATATATTTTGGTAAGCCAGACCTTATTTCTCTGTTTGCTCTTGCACCACCTGGCTTTTGTTTAACATCTTAATAAAGATCATATTTTTAAAGTTGTTTGTAGAACTTCTCCAGAGACTGGACTGTGAAGACAAACTGAAATCAACTTTGTCTCTTTGACCTATCTCTTCCTTGCATGCGTTATCGATTCTCTCCCAGCCAGCACACGTGGCTTCCAGAGGAGGAAGAAAAGAACAAAAGTAGAAAACTCAACTACAAACAGAATGAGATGCTAAAGATGAACATTACTGACTAATTCAAAAACTAACTAGTAACTTGGACACTTCCCTGGTTAAAACATAAAGGGAAAAAGTAATGGAACAGCCAGACAATTCAGTCTTGTCTTTTCAGTTCCTGGCCTCTCTTGTTTTCTCAGTCTCTCAACTTGTAAAAGGTGGTAGGTTGACTTTATAATGGATTGTGTCCAAAGCAGACTCCTTGCTTAAGCCAACAGAATGGAAAACTGAGGCCCATATTAAGGTGTGGAAAAAGACTAACTGGGAGAAACGGTTTGATAGGTAGCTCTACTCTGAAATGTAGCCCCATGAAATGGTCTCATGGGGCTCCATAGTTTTGATTAAATGTGCTCCTTTCACAAGTAGAAAGATAGTTTTTGAACAGCTAAGACAAGAAGCTCTTCTTTCTTTCCAAGAGTCAGACTGGGTCCTTTCCACTGCTACCATTGGCAGGTCTGTGAACCATGAAGAAACCTGCTGATAGCTGAGAGCAACACTTTGAGACAGAGATCACATATAGAGTATTTGTAAGCCTTGGAATGAAGCAGATGTCCCTGAAAGCAGCACTTGGTGTATCAAATCTTTGCTTTACAGACGACAGCATGCAAAGCAGAAAAATACAATAGCTCAGCTGTCAGAGCCCGGAGTGAGCTGGTACAGGTGGTAGATAGAAAATCTTTCTGCTTTTAGGATGACTCTGTCACAATAATACAAATTTCTGCCCTGTTACCTGTAGTAACTTTTCAGAAGCCTGCTCTCTAACTGTGACAGCATCAAGTAGAGCAAGGCCTTGAACAGCCTGTGAAAGGAATGATCAGTCAAAGAAAAAATCTCAGAAAACATCAGCTGTTGGTGTTAGACCACTGTGTATAACGAGAGGAAATGCCAGGAAGGGAAAAGGAGCGTATAGTACAAGATGTTACAAGGGGGAGACAGAGAGAAAGCCCAAGAACATCACTGAGTTTACTAGCAATAGGCTGGAACATCACAACCTGTTGGAGATGTTGATCAACATGGCACAGTATCTTGTACTGAATGTCTCTGTAAATGTCATTCCCAACAACTCTATTCAGAAAGCCTTTTAAAACAAATTTTCCCTTCAAGTCCCAACACCACAGCACAAAATCTTTCTACCTTGTTCTTCTTTTGTATATTTACATTGCATGGTGCCAGCAGCAGAAGAGCCAAAGCTCTGCTTTATTGTCGCTAGTACAGAAATAGGGTAGAGGTGATGCATTTCTCCAGGGTTCAGGAAATCCATCCCACGGCGGGGTGGAGTCCTGACTGCAAGTGGATACGGCAGTAGCCAGCTGTTCTAGGACAGGCTGGCCAAGCCTGGCAAATGTGCCAAAAGTAGGATGATGGCCATGGAATGAGGCCTGTAAAATGCTGTGGTTCTGGTTTGTATCCTGTCTTGCCCGTGTGTGCTTATTCATAGGCTTGTATGAAGTGTCTTAAGAGAGCCGGGTACAGCACATACACAAAGTGAGTGCCCACTGAAAAGAGGACAGGCGGCAGGAGAGCAAGCCCGTAACTGTTACTGGAACCCGTTTCACTTTTTTGCTACTGCTGTACTGCTGCACGCTTGTTTTTTTAGCTCCTGAGCATCTGGGTTAATCAGGCTGCCTGACCCTTAGACATTTTTGGCAGCAAAAGCAGTGCATCTGAGAAACATGCCTTGATTTAACACCCTGACACAGCTGGGCTCACTAGGCCTGTAGCTCTTAGCCCTTGGCTAGCCTCAGATCGTACACACAGATACACATGCTGGGATACTCTGTCCAAAAGCAACAAAGAGGAACAAGCCACCCTGGCTCTGGGTCTTCACATCTGCTGCTGTCCTCTTGTCAAACCTGGGCTTTTTGTCATGTGAATTTGTTAGTTGCAGTTCTGTCCCGTCCTGGACTATCCCAGGAATAGGTTGTCTAGGAGCAGAAGGACAAGTCTGTAGAGAGAATGCGGTTCTTTAAACATAAGCCACACTTTAAAGTAGAAGTGTGACTCTTCCCTGTTGTTTGTTGTTGTTGTACTTGCTGGCATTCTTGATGACATTTTCAACCACTAGTCTTGCATTCTACCTACAGAAGGGTGAGCATGATCTGGATGTCAGCTGGGTTGGGTTGACAAAGTGGACAAGCTAATTATGAGCATGAAATGTCTTGGTCAGAAGCATAAAGATCCATCTGGATTCTCAGCTCCCAGGAGGACCATGCAATATCAGCAGCAAAAGAAACCATAAGTACAGATCTAAAACTCTCTCCAAGATGCAATAAACATAGAAACAGGCATCTCATTTGATGATAGCATTTCAAATTATGGCTATCTGAAGTAAGGGGTTGTGTTTTGCAAATGTTCTATCTACATCCCTCTCCCTTCCTGTATGGACTACATTTCACTAAAATCTAACTGAGATTAAATATAGGAGTCCCTCACTGGCCTTTTAGCTGCCAAAAGAACCTGGATTATTGGCAACTTGCTGACTTCGAGATCTGAAAGCTAAAGGTTTCAGACAGAACTATAGCAACTGCACATGTGTGCCTGTGTCTGTAAGTCATCAGGGCATCATCACATGGGGTTTACAGTACTTTTTTGAGGAAGAGCTCACAGTAACCGTAATACTGCGGAGCCGAATGACTGAAGGAGAAGGACTGTAACAGAGAGACAGAAGTGTACACACAGAAGTCTGGAGTGGTCAGAATAGAGTTGGGCAGGAAGGAAGAAATGCAAGGATAAAGGAGGAGAGGACAAATCAGGAACTGATGGATCAATTGTGTGGATTCTAAGGACAGAATAGATCATTGCAGCTGTATAGTTTGATCTTGTCTTGTGAGCAGTCCTGCTTTTTATGTTAGGAGGGCATGGTCTCAGTTTGGTAATGAGCATTCATAACAGTTGAAGGAAGTGCAGTTGTACTCCACAGATTATAGTTTTGCTGTAACTCAAGTGCTGAGATAAATGCAGGAGGATTTGCATAAAGTATCTGCTTGAGAACTGGTACTGCACTACTGGAGATTTAATGCATCCTGTGAGTCTCACTTTCTAAGACAAGTGAGAAATCTTCTAAATGAGCTGTCTTTGCTGATACAAGATGCAAGGACTTAACTTTTGAATGTTGGCATGTTTTTGCCAGTGTATGCATTTCTGTTCTACGGTTGCTTAATCATTTTACTTCAAATCACTGGAATAAGGTGACCACAGCATTATTAGCTGAGTTCTACTTTGGTGGTCCAATACTATTTACTATCTCCTTTATCTTCCAGAATCAGCTTCCAAGACACGTAGGCCAATTAAGTGTTTTAGACCATCAAAGTCTTGCCAGTGGCTTGAGTGTTCATCTGTCTTGCTTTGCCTTTTTGGAGTTGGTTGCTGTCACTGCCTTTTTCATACCGTGTTCAGGCACAGGTTCATAGCTAGAATCCCAGTGAGATTATGTAAACGAGGAGAAATCTCAATTTTTTTGTTTGAGACGTTTGTTCTTCCTTGGTATATCTTATCTCTTGGTATATCCCTTCTTATCTCTGTTTAATTTGATGCTTTTACCTGTCAGGGTGACCTCCACTGAAAGGCAACTGAATGGATTCCAGACCAGCCTTCACAGTGCTGCGTCCTGTGAGCCAGAGACAAATTCCACAGGTGAGTGCCAGTGCTGAAGACCAGGAAAGCAGGGGTGGGCATGCTGGGATTCTTTCATCTTTCTCAAGAACTGGCAGGGAAAAAACTTTCTCAGCAAGAAGAAGAAACACAGCTGCCTACTCTGCGTGTAGTTGTTCCTAGGTAACAGTCTGGATTCAGCTGTGCAGGGAATTTATTCCTCCTGGGATTAAAAAGACTAAACAGAAGGGAGCCAAGGCTGAGTTTCATAGGATTGGAAGAGGAAGATCCCTAGAAATGTGGCTGGGAAAAAAAAAAACTTGGCTAAAATGGCTCCTCTTTGCTTTAGGCTTTGGCTCAAAGATGCTCTGTTGTTTAAGCTTGGCTTGTAATAAAGGGCCAGGACATTCTTTACATTTTTCTTCGGTCTTGTAGAAAAGCCCCTTAGTTCAAAAAGACATAGTTGAGACTTGTAGATCAGCTGCATAGTGAAGTCAATCAGCAGAGATGAAAGTTCCCAAGGGAAAATCCCTGAGACTTGCAGAATCAATTATTCATCATTCCCTAGTGGCTAGTTAATTCAAACAGGTTTATCTGCTGTTAAGGTCTCAGTGCTGGGTCTCAGGACCCAATGCATTTTTCACTGATGCCAACCTACTAGCAGATAGAGTGTAGTCTTGATGAACCCATATTACCCATGGCAATTTGTGATGGTGCTGTAATAGAATATATGGACAAATAATGGTCTAGAATGCTTTAAAAAATCTGTTTCTGACCTTTTGTTTTGCCGTGAAAACCCTGAAAACGTGACTTGAGTATCACTAATGTGGGGATCTCTGTGTTTTCATAGGCTGAAAGAAAAGTTTGCATAGGGGTGAACTACCCAATTCATCTCTTGGATATTTAGCTCTGAAACTTAAAGATGACATTTCCATTATTAATGTCAGTGTTTCTATTGCTGATCCTCTAGCACAAACACTCAGCTAATGCACTTATCGTACAGTTCCAAGCTGCCTCCCACGCTTTACCACCTGCCAAAAACTTCAGTTATCCTACCAGAAAGTTTATAGGGTGAATAGCCATAGTCAGTAAAAAAGACTCCACGGCACTTTGGAGCGTGACAGTGTAGGAATGGAATATAATGGGATTATCAAAATAAATAAAAGTATGTCAACACTGCAGTATATCTATAGTTGAGGGGAAAGTTCTGGTCTACTGTACAGTTCAAGTTGAGGTTTTAGTACAGTATATAAAGCAAGGTTACACATACATTTACAGTAAATGTAAAAATAGAGTTCTCAATATATTGACCAAACTGGTTTGCTGAGTGGACTTACATAAAGGTGTTTGTGTGCTGAATTCTACCTTCTTTTTCACAGTTTTAAGAGCACTCTCATAGTTGCCATCCTGTAATTTTAACCTCGCTAGAGATTCTCTCCATCTCCTCTCAGTGCTGTTGTTGTTACATGGGTCTGTGATAACCACAGGTAGCATTTTTCTACCCTTCCCTGTTTCTGTGCTTATTTATGCAGAGCATGTGTGAGGATTGTTGATAATATTAATGATGGAAGGCAACAGCCAGAGCTGCAGGAAGAATGTAGGCTAGATAATAACTACAAAGTTCAGAGATATCCACTGCATGAATAACTCTGGGAATACTTGTAATCCAGTGAGAACTGAGACCTTCAGCTCACGTTACCTTCTGTAGGACCAGGCTAGCTGCACTGTACTAAGCTGCTCCTCTCTGAAGCTGAAGCAAAGGCTTTAGCCTGCCGTTAGCAAGGAGTGTGAGGGCTTAGATAGAACCCTAGTTTGGCAAGGACTAGGGTAGCAGAACCATGGTGGATGGGTCACTCAAAGCTTCCTTGTTGCTAGAAGAGGTGCATAGCTCCAAGAAGAGGGCTAAATAGTGCGGTGATTGAACTAACTACAGCAAAGTGTTTCATCTTGGAAACTGAGGATGTGCTGAGGATGTTTCCTTCAGCTTTGCACCAAGCCACTGGTGTGCGTCAGAGGCTGCTGTGCCCAGTCTGTGTCTCAGGAACTCCTCTGGTCCTTCCTGAGGAACAGCTGGTTTTCTTCTTCACTCTCTCCATTGACTGCTTACACTAGGGCCCTGATTTCCCTCATCAGCAGCTTACTTGGGGTTCCTGTTTCACATGTATTTAGTATCCTAGATACCAACTAGAGGGGTTGGAGACACAAGTTGTAAAGCAGATTACAGAACAAACTGTAAGCATTTAAACATAGAAGCCTGTGAAAAGTTGCAGAGATAACTGCAAAGAGGAACCAGGCAGAACCTCTGTATAAACACACACGCAAATGTTCAAAAATGTCTGAGAAGCTTGAATAGGCCCTCTCCTCTAACAGCCTGTCTGAGGCATAGCTATGAGGCTCTCCAGAGAAGCAGCATAATAGTGGCACAAATGATCTAACCAAAAGTAAGGATGATGCTCAAAGGAAGAGAAAGTCAGGCAGTATGGAAGCTTTTAACCAGATTGTCCAGAAAACAGTTAACTGGTCATTAGTACTGCAACTGTTGGAGAACACCACTTGTAGAGACTGCTGTGCAGTGGGCTCAAGCTCTTGAGGACAGATGCCCTGAGACGAAGTAAAAGGGAGAATAAAAGTCAGCATTTCTGACGCAGGTTTGTGAGACAAGGCACCACTACAATGTACGGGAGCAGCCTCACATCCCTGTAGTGTCATCCTCATGTCACAGAGAGGCAGGAGCTGTGTGTGAGCTGTGTGCCACTGCTGTAAGGAGAGAGGAGGCAGAGATTCTCATGAGTATGTGCAGACAGGACGCTCAATCTGCAAGCTAACATTTGGGGGTTATTTGTGGTATCTGAACAGACAGTTTCCTATCAAAGTTCCCGAGAATTTAACAGGATTTATTCTATTGAAGAGCTACTAAGAATTCCTACCTCTAAGGAACATTCAGAGTACTTCTGACCTGATTTTTCACTGCAATTGAACACCCAGCTGCCAGTGGGTTGTCAGTCATTCTGAAAATACAGCTGTTACCGCATTGCTTTTTTTGTTCTGTGTTACTTTGAGGGTCCCTCAGCATTGCACTGGTTGTTTCCTGCTTTGTGGACTTTAGCAATTCAATTATTATTAGTGAAATAGGGTGATTGTGAACTAAGAAATCAATTCTCTTTTCAGAGTCTTCTTCAGGATATGGCCTGCTGAATAACAGCTAAGATAAGTGGTATAGTGGGTTGTTCAGTTCCAGGTTGTCTTTGTGAGGCTGTGTTTGATATGGCAAGTTCAGATGATAAAAGAAGAAACCTACAGGCTGGTCACTTTTTTACTGTATATTTTAATAATGTAAAGTGCATGGATGTTGACAAGGTAGCAATCACGACGAGAAAAACTTATCTACGCAGTTGCAGATAAGCAGGCACTTCTTTATTACAGCGCTGGGGATGCACAGGGGGTAGCTCCTCTAATTGTGCTCCAACGCCCATACATTTTCACAGCCTATTTATACATTGTTAACAAAGCAAAATCATAGGAGCATACATAAGATGATCACCCTGTCCCTCTTTACTCTGTCCCTCGCCTTGATTGGTTCCCCACTATCACGCCACATAAGACATTTGGATTACCCCTATAATTTTGCCAAAAAACGTTTCAGCCTATTCTTCTGGTGGTCTGACCACAGCTATTATCCCTCATGCTATGGTCTAATTCTTCTCTTGAGCATGGTATGTGCCTTCTCTAAGTGCTTATACAAATATATCTTGAAATCTTTTTCTTAACTCTGTAGTTTAAACAAATACCTATTCTAACTACATAACCATCAACCCAATTTAATTACCTTGATCGGTCAAAGTGCTCTTTTAGCTCTACTGCTGAAACAAATACCTACTTTAGTTGGACAGAATATTCTTGTGACTATAACATGGAGACATTTTGCCATATTTTGCTGTTTTATTTTCTGTTCTTCTCTTGTGGCATTAGGTGAAGAGTGCATTAATTCTTTTTCTTAAGAAAATGAAGTTCTAGGTTAAGAAAATGTCATTTTCCACCAGAATTTAGCTTTTGAATAACTGGCAAGAAACATCAAGGAAGTTCTGTAGCTAACATGGAAGACCTCATAGAAATTATGTTTATTATTCTTCCTTTTTGAAAATGCTATCACAAAGCAGGTTTTAGGGAAAATAGAGGATGAAGGGCACTTTACAAAAACAAAACAGCATAGTCCCAGGCAGCTTCTCTGTTCCTGAGCTGGTCTCTTGTCTACAAGAGCCTGGAGACAGGAACAATCTGAAAATACAGTTAACCCCTCGGTGCAGTTGTGGGGTGTACGCACAAGGTGATGACCCCAGATGGTTTTATTTGGTTTGGTTTGATTTGTAAGGGTAAGAGCAACTATGAGTGAAATCTGACTTCTGTCTTTGTACGTCTCTTTCATTTGCTGCCAACTTTGTGAAATTCTTACTGTAAAACCTTCAGAAGACAGAATGCCTCTGAGGTTCTGTTTTGCTATGGCAAAAATATAATGTGCCAATAACCTATCTAATTACAAACAAATATGAATCATGATTAAAACTGGGCCAGACTGATGCCTGGCTCCAGCCTTGACAGGACTTCCACCTTTTTATAGTCAGGCAATGAAACTGCATCACTATTAATCAGTCTGAGCTCTGCTGTCAAACTCAGATAGCATTTTATTAACTTTTACCTCCACTAATCAGTAACTAATGCTTTTTTCTTTTCCCAGCCATGTGGGCACTAGTAATATAAACACTACATTCTAAGTTTTCTAGTGACTCCCTTCTTTAGGCTAAGGTGGAGAGCAATGTCTGAACACCATCCAAATAAGATGAATGTGAAGGCAGCGTGGTCCGGTGTGGAGCAATGAGTGGAGCCAGCCTGTGAACTAGTGATACTAAGGAGCACTTTTGCACTTACTCTTCTCTGCCTCTTAGCACACTCTGGATTTCTTTCATTTTACAGGAAATCTACATGTAGACTCCGTATTTCTAAAGTTTTTTATATCCAGAACTATTGTATAGTCCTTCATAAGACCA